ACCTGGCCGTAGCGGGGTGGGCAAGTGCTGGACAAACTCGTCGGTGTCGGCGTTAGTGCCGTGTGGGTGAGCGTGGTGGTCAGCTCGGTGCGCGCGCAGCTCAGCGCGCAGGCGGTGCACGTCGTGCTCTAGAATGCGGAGATCTTCGCGAAGATTCGCTCGAAGCACGCGCGGGGCGTGGCCAGGTGGTTCAGGAAGGTCGCGCCCGTGCAGGGCGGGCACGTAGATGACAAGGTTCTGGTGCCTATGCTCGATGAATTGGCAGTGGTATTCTCGAAGCGGGCCAGGCAGTAGCTGAGGGTGAAACGAACTGCATGTGCGGGCATTGCGGCGCTGGGCTGGTGGCTCCATGGCGGCAGTACCTGCGAAGACTTGGGATGGGGTAGGAGGCATCAGCATGACAGTCTCGCCGCGCGAAGGCTGCCTCCTGGGGCTCGCTCTGAGTGGATACTCTCGAGCCGAGACTAGAGAGAGAGAGAGAGAGAGAGAGAGAGAGAGAGAGAGAGAGAGAGAGAGAGAGAGAGAGAGAGAGAGAGAGAGAGAAGAGAGAGAGAGAGAGAGAGAGAGAGAGAGAGAGAGAGATAGAGATAGAAGAGAGAGAGAGAGAGAGAGAGAGAAGAGAGAGAGAGGAGGAGGAGATAGAGAGAGAGAGAGAGAGAGAGGAGTAGAGAGAGAGAAAGAGAAGAGAGAGATAGAGAGAGAGAGAGAGGAGAGAGAGAGAACGAGAGAGAGAGAGAGAGAGAGATAGAGAGAGAGAGAGAGAGAGAAGAGAGAGAGAGAGAGAGAGAGAAGAGAGAGGAAACAAAACAAGAGGGAGAGAGAGAGAGAGAGAGAGAGAGAGGAGAGAGAGAGAGAGAGAGAGAGGAGAGAGAGAGAGGACGAGATATAGATATATATATATATATTAGAGAGAGAAGATAGAAGAGAGAGGAGAGAGAGAGAGAGAAGAGAGGAGAGAGAGAGAGAGAGAGAGAGAGAGAGGGAGAGAGGGAAGAGGGAGAGGAGAGAGATAGAGAGAGAGAGAGAGAGAGAGAGAGAAAGAGAGAGAGAGAGAGAGAGAGAAAAAAAAAAAAAGAAGAGAGATAGAGAGAGAGAGAGAGAGAGAGAGAGAGAGAGAGAGAGAGAGAGAGAACACAACAAAAAGAAACAGAGGGAGAGAGGGGGGGGGAACGGGCAGTGCCGAAGGCTAAGGGATACTTCGCAAAGCGCGACGAGCCCCTTGGCGTCGTGGCCCCCCAGCCTTCCGGAGGGGATTCGCGCCCTCTTGCGCGGCGCCAGCCCCCTTCCACCTGCGGCCGTCCTGAACGCGCAAGCGCGCCGCGTCCCCGCCGCCAAGTCGACGTTGTGCTCCCGAACCGTGTGGCTCTCGGAAACGACGCCTGCGCGCGCAGCTCGTCGAATCCCCGGCTCCGCGACGAGGGCCTTCCAGCAGCTCTTGGGCCGCGCCGCCCCGTCCAGGCTCGGGTCGCCCAGGAAAGCCGCTGGCGCGCGGCTAGGGGTCGCGCCCGCGATGACGTCCCCAGGGCGCGCGCCCCATCACACGCAGACTGAAAATGCCCGGCTGGGGCGAGGCCGACCGAACTGCCGCCCCCTCCTCGCGAGCCCTCTGCGCGAAGATGTTTTCAAAACGCGCCGCGCTCACGCTCTACGCCGATGGGGGCACAGGAAATTCCAGGGGCGCGCGTTCGGTGGTGGCGGAGGGTTGGCCCCGCCACGGCAACCAACAAATCCATGGATTCGGAATGGCCAACTCAACTACCTGAAAACCTGGCATGGGAAAACTCACGAAAAAAACTTGTCCGCGGGGTCAAAGAAAAATATGGTCGACAAAAGTCGGGGCCAGAGTGCAGTGGAGAAGGGCAAGTGGGAAGAGGAACCTGACAAGGCAAACTGCAGTGAAACATTGCGTCCTCGATTGCCTGATCTATTACAAGAGCCATGGCAATCCGCTGGCCCCCAAATGAGAGAGCATGCCTAGCGTAGCACCTGCGCGCTGGCTTTCCCGAGCTACCACCAAACCCAACGCCCCGCATGATCTTGAGTATCCCACCCAGCCCGTTCCATGACCATCAGGGGCGCACACCGCAACCTGACGAGAAAGTGCCATATCGCTGACCAACGCACCCACCGCAATGGGAACACCGCTACCACCTGCGCTGATGACAGAAATTGTGGACTACTCTTCCTTCCAAACACACGCATAACCCCGATTGGCCCTCCCAACCCCGCCTTCCTGATCGCCCGCCTTCCCCCGCACCCTGCCGCACCCCCGCCCCCTGTCGCGGCGTCGAAGACGCAATTGTTATGTTCCCGTCCCCGCCGGCCCCGACATCCTCGCTACATTTCGCAACCGACCCTCGGCGAATAAGAAAACGCGCCACCAACATTTAAACAACGAAAGCCGCGATCGCAGCGTTGCAGTAGCTCCTTGTTAGCGGCCGCCATTGGCATCGTAATGCGCCGCGAAGAGCCACCGAGCTAGTGCTGTTACAACTTTCGAAGACCGATCGAAAACTCAATTGCGCCTGCGCCATCGAAAATCGAAGTTGTCGAATTTCGGACGCCAAACCCTGGCCGCCCCCAGAGATATCCCCATCCTCTAATCATCCGCCCCTTCAGACCCCCATCGAGTCCCAACACAAATAATGAAAAGAAACGTCCCCTGACTATGTGGTTTCACTATTTTTGGATATTCCTCCTGTAGAGGGACACGCCCGACTTCACCATAAACAAAAATATTGAAAAAAGAGCGCCCCAGATTATATATATATATATATATATATACTAGAACCATCGCGCGCGCTTCGCGCGCGCTCAAGTTCTAGCCAGGATCCTCACCATCGTCATCATCGCAATCATCACCATCGTAGTCATCGTCATGGTCGTGTTCACCATTACCATCACCAGCACAACCATCATCATCACCACCATCATCGTCAGCATCGTCAGCACCATCGTCATCATCGTCGTCGTCATCGTTGTCCTCACTATCATCGTCGTCGTCATCATCATCAGCATCATCATCGTCAGCATCAGCATCAGCATCATCAAAGTGTCCGAAATCGCATGGGGCTCGTTTCGGTGCCTGCTCGGGGGCTCTTGGGGGCCTCCCGGGGGGCTCTTGGGGGCCTTTGGGAGCCTCTAGTGGTTTCTGGGGATGCTCTTGGGGCCGAGGGCCCGTAAAGTGCGCTCGGATCCCGCGTCTGGGCCCCTTCTTGGAGCCGTGTTGGGACTCTCTTGGGCCGTCTTCGAGGCCTCTTAAGCGGTCCCGGGGCGCTCTTGGGCCGTCTTGGGGCCGTCTTGGTGGCCTCTTGGGCCGTCTTGGGGCGATCTTGGGTGCCTCTTGGCCGTCTTGGAGCGCCAGGGAGCCCAAAAGGAGAGAAAGCCAAAAACATCGAAAAACACAATGGAAAATCAACGATTCGAGCCTCTTGGGGCCCTCTTGGAGAGCCTCTTGGAGGCCTCTTGGGGCGTCTTGGAGGCCCCTTGGGCCGTCTTGGGACCATCTTGGGCGTCTTGGAGCGATCTGGGACCGCCTCGGGGCCCTCTTGGACCATCCTGGGGGCCTCCTGGGGCCGTCTTGGAGGCCTCTTGGGTCGTCTGGAGGCTCCTTGGAGGCTCCTTGGAGGCCCCGGGGAGGGGGTATTAAAAAGCGTTCCCCGATGGTTGCGGAGTGGGCGGCCCCGCCGGGGGGGGGGGGGCCTATTTGTTTATATTATATATACACATATATATATATATATATATATATATATATATAACATTATTTTTGAACATTCCTCCTCCAGAGGGACACGCCCGAGTTTCAGCACAGGCATGGGCCTCCACTGCACGTCGCCGACAGGTCGGCGACGGGGGCCCCGAGAAGCTCGGACCCGCGTGCTCCCGGGGGCGTGGCGGGCGCTCGGACCTCGACTGGCCAATGCGGTGCGCGACTGGGGAGCCGCGGCGTCCCGCCCGGGGCCCGAGCCCCGGAGGGTTCCTAAGGCACGCAGAAAGCATCTATACACCACCGCCGTGCCAGGCCAGGGCCACCCTGGGCCCTGGGATGGCGTATGCGCCCTCCTGGCCGAGCCAGGAGGGTCTATACACCATCCTGGGGCCCAGGATGGCCCTGGCCTGGCACGGTGGTGGTGTATAGATGCCTTCGCTGGACAAGGGGGTTTTTGGGAAGGGGGTTTTCCAGGAGGGGTCCCCCAGAGGCTTCGCAGCCCCTGTCTCAACGAGGCTCCGAGGCCCCTGGGGGGCTCTCTGGAAGACTCCCTTCCCCCACAAGCCCCCTTCGGAACCCTCCAGAAGCTCCGTCCCTGGTTAGGTCAACGTTCTCTTATTCGGCGTCTCGACATCGGGCGGGAGGGGGGGGGGGGAGGGGGGGGGTTATGGCTCTGGACCTCTGCTTCGTGCGGCTGTTTGGAACGAGGCGTCCATTGTGGGGGAGACCCCACCTGCTCGAAACAGGTGCACTCCATGGGGGGGGAGGAGGGGTTTGGGGGCCCGCGCCGATCGGCAAAACGAATAAAAAAGATCACTAAGGGGAACAAGCAGCGACGTAAACATACAACGTCGCAGGTCCGCCCGGATTTCTCGGATCGGCGCTGGGCCCCCCCTCCCTGGCGCGCGGAGCGCGCCAGGGGCGGCGCCGGAGGCGCCGCCAAGGTCAGCGCCCCTCAAACGGGGACTCCACTAACGGGTACTTTGGCCAGTGACCCAGCGAACCCAACCCTTCCCGATGCGGGCAACGCTGCATTGCTAGAAAGAGGCCCCAAAGTGGCAACTCTCGTCAAAATTGCAAAGTACCCGTCAGTAAGTACCCGTTGCGGTGCTGTTGACAAGGGTGAAGGGGCCCACAAACACACAAATAAATACACACAAATAAAAATATTCCCCATATTTTCTCATATTTTCTGAGTTTTTGTCTTCCCCACCACTTCCCATACTTTCCCATATTTTCCTGGGGATCGACGATTAATTGTGTCTGTGTGTTTCTTCCCCTCCTGAAAGGGGGCCCCAGTGCCGATCCGAGGAATCCGCGCGGACCTCCGAGTTCGCATGCTCATGTCGCTGTTGCTCCCCCGCCTGGTGCCTCCCGGGCCACGGCCCGGGCCTCTCCGGCGCCCGCTCGGGGCAGCCCGGGAGCGCTCCCTCGGCGAGGCGCCGCTGCTGGAGGACGCCCCGAGGCTGGGCAACTGCCGAGGACCGACAGGAGCGCCAGCAAGCCTCGAACCTCGAGCCATTTCCCCCCCCGAACGCTGCCCCTGACCTCGGTGTACGGCACGCTGTCCTGGTCAGAAGGAAGGGCAAACAGGCACACTCTGGGTTTCTCAGGAAGCGTGGGGAGTACCACCCCCGACGGGGGTCAACCTCGCCTCGTCGTCGCGCCGCGACGGGGGTCGGAGCGCCTTCGGCGCGCAGTGGCTGCCCGCGACGGGGGTCGATGCGGGGCTGTCGGCGGGGGTGACGCCCCCCCGACGCTTATTGAGAAACTCGGAGCAGACAGAAACCTTCCGAGGCCCGCGCGGATTTCTTGGGCCTGCGCTGGGGCGGCGCCGGAGGCGCCGCCAGGGGCGCCCAGGCGGCGCAGGCCCAAGAGACCGGCGGCGACCTCCGAAAAGCTTACGCCTGTGCAGTCGAATTCGCTCTTCGACGGGGGGCGGACGTCCGGACCCTGCCCCCGCCAGCCGCCGCTCCTCCTGCGTCCATTGGGGCCGGGGGCCGGGTCCGGATGCCGCCGCGTGCTCGACGAGCTCCGAACCCTACCCCCGGCGCCCGTCGAGTGGCCCGAGGCGTTGGTCGGCGAGCCCAGACATCCGACGCCTCGACTTTTTCGAGGCGCGGGCCCCCGACCCGTCGACCGCTTCCCCCGGGGGCCGGCTGCTCGTCCCGAGCCGTTGCTAGACGGCCCCGAGGCCCGGCATAGACTCAGAAAGACATCTGCCCCGATTTTTCCGAGGCGCCAGACGTCGGGGAGGGCAGGGTTCGGATGTCTCCATCGATCAGAATCTTGGAGGCCTGGAAACGGGCACCAACACCAGCACAGGGGGATGCCTCCACAGAGGGAAGGCGATCCTGGATGTCGGTGTTGGTGGTAATAGTTCGGCCACCCTGGAAGCCAGAATAGTACCACCATCACCGAGATCGGGATCCTCTTCCCTCGGTGGAAGCACACCGCTGGCATTGGTGTTGGTGTCAACCTCTAGGCCTGCGAGAGTCCTTCTTGCCGAGGAGGATCTGGTCGGTCTTCGAGGCGGGCATGCCGATCGGCAGCTTGCCCTCAGGCGCGCGGTCCCCGAAGAGCACGGAGGCCCACGCGTGGGCCGTCTCCTCCGGGGGGAGCCGAGGAGCTGGCAGAATCCCACCAGCCCTTTAGGGCGTGAGCGGTTTAGCGAGCCTCCTCTTCCAACCACCCTTCTCTTCCCCGTCGAGTAATGGTGTGCCCCTCCCTTTGCGTGAGGGAAGCGGGTCGCGAGGGAAACGGGTCCTGGACCCAGGGCCTTCCCCCAGCACGAGGTCTTCATCCTGAGTCGCTTTCTAAACACTCCTGGGGCCCGTGGAGGGCCCCGGGAGTCCGAAAACGGCGACAAACCTCAGGACCCGTTTCCCTCAGGACCCGTTTCCCCCATGGCGACTCCCCCTGCCCCCTCGCAGGTCTGGGGGAGGTCCAGGGGAAGACTGCAAAGATGCCCAATTTCTCGGAGCCCCAGGGGGGCAAACACGGCAACAGACATAAACCAGGGCTGAACCCAAACGGTGTTTTTCGTTCTCGCTTTGTTTTCGTTTTCCCTCGTTTTGGCTTCAATCCGCCGTTGCCGCAAAACGAAAGTCGAAACGAAAACGGCCCACGAAATCGCCAGAACACCGTTTAGGTCCAGCCCTAACATAAACCTTCGACGCTGCGCGCGGATGGCTTGGATCGGCGCCGAGCCGCCTTCCCTGGCGCGCCGCCACCGGGGCCCAACGCCTGCGACACACCCCGCGAAAGGAGGGGGACAAGGAGGAGGAGGAGGAGGAGGAGGAACAGGAGGAGGAGGAGGAGGAGGAGGAGGATCTGGAGGAGGAGGAGGAGGAGCTGCTTCTCAGTGAAGGAGGCTGCTTCTTAGAGGGGGGCTGCTTCTTGGGGAGGACTTCTTAGAGGGAGGCTGCTTCTTCGAAGGCGCCAGCCCTGCATCCGCAGACAAGGCCCGCGCCTCCTGAGAAGCAGGGGCGCTTCGCATCCTCACTCGTCCTATACCCCCCTTCTGCGCCTCGCCATGGCTCGGACGTCCACTCCCCGTGCCTTCTTCGACCTCGTGCGTGTCTTTTTCGCAGGATGACACAAGATGCTTCACGATGGTCCTCGCCGAGGATACAAATGCACACGCCCGAGCGATGCCAAGGAGGAGGAGGAGGAGGAGGAGGAAAAGGAGGAGGAGGAAAAGGAGGAGGAGAGAGGAAGGAGGGAGATGCACTTTTCGGCTCCGTGCGCGTAATCATATGTTCGCAGTGCGACCCGACGTGTTCCTCGATGGCCCTCGCCGCAGAAACACTGTACACGCCTTAAGTCGGGCGTGCCCCCCTACAGGGGGATCTTCGACGAAAAATAAAACACACCATGCAAATACTGAAACAAGAGTCCAAAAATGGTCTGGGCACTATTTTTTAGTATCTTTTGACCCTCTTTGGGCACTTTGGGAGTATTCCTTGTTTTTCGTCGACATATCCCCCTGTAGGAGGACACGCCCGACTTAGCACACGCCCGAGACGTGCCGAGAGGCGCGTGGCCCGGCACCCTCGCAGGGGGCCCGCGCCTCCGAGAGGCCGCGCGCCTCTGCGCCGTGCCTTCCCCGGGACAGCGAGGCACCGACGCACCGCCGCTCCCCGGAGCCCCCTCCCCCGAGGGTGCCTCCTGTAGACGAGCGCGCCCCGCTGCTCGCAGAGTACAGGGGAAACAAAAGGTGGCATAAACATAAAAACTCGGAGGTCCGCGCGGAGTTCTCGGATCGGCGCTGGGGCCCCCCGGCGGCGCCTCCGGTGCCGCCCCTGGCAGGGAGGGGGGTCCAGCGCCGATCCGAGAAATCCGCGCGGACCTCCGAGTTTTTATGCTGATGTCACTTTTTGTTCCCCTACTCCCCGGAGGGTGCCTTCTGTAGACGAGCGCGCTCCGCTACTCGCAAAGTAGCTGCTCCCAAATCGCCTGGATCCTTCGCGGGGAATCTACGATAAACTACATCGAAGCAGACATGTGTTTCTCGGGCGTTTGCGAGTAGGCACTTTGCGAGTAGTGGAACGCGCCGGGTGATTCTGACCCGGATGCCAAGGCAGGTCTGCGCTGGAACGGATCGCGAAATCGGATCCGGTCGAGAGCGGGTCGGATCGCCAACGAACCGTTCCGAACCGGACCGGTACCGAGTCGCCGCGCCCCGCTTCCGGCTGGCCCTGGCCTGTGAGTGGAGCCCGATCGCATCGAAGTGGAATCGCGGCCCCAGCTGGCCGAATTATTCGTCTTTTTATTATTCGTAGTATTCTTCTTCGTATTTTATTATTAATATTATCATCTGTATTATTAGTATTCTTAATAGTCGTCTTCGTCTTCTTAATATTCTTACTATTCGGCTCGTATGCGGCCCCGCCAGCGGAGGCGACGAGGGCCTCCCAGGAGACCGACAGAGGGGAAAGCGGGCGAAAGGCAGCAGCATTGCTACCCTCCCTGGCATGCGACGTCCCGGTGTTTCCAGAACCCGCGGTCCGCCGAAGTCCCGACCCCTTCACTGGGACTGGTCTCTCCTCCTGGGCCGCTTCCTGACGGCCCCGAGGCCTGGCGAGGGCCTCTCGAGGCCGAAAACGGTGAGAACCCCTCAGCATAATCTCTTGCTACGACGCGGCCATGTCTCGGCTTTCCTCCGCTGACTTCTCAGGGATCTTCTGACCCGGGTCAATCAAGACCCGGGTCAGTCGGGCCTTGCAAGATGTTGCAAGATCATGCAGGATCCTGCACCCGAGCCCGGGCCAGTGCGGCCTTGATTCTGCAGGATCCTGCAAGATCTGGCGATCTGGCTGACCCCTGCCTGCACTGACCCCTGTCTCTTCAGCCCCAGGAGGAGGAGGAAGACCAGTGTAAACCCAAGAGTCATCAACGATGTTGGAGTAAACCCTGCCTCCAAGCTCCCTCTTCATAGGCCCCTACAACGCCTCATTTGCCTCGTTGAAGACAACCGTTTGAAGACCCTGAAGCATGCCAAAACATTGTTCTCGGGATTCCAACGTCACGGATCAACCTGATCGTTGCATCTGGACGATCCTGAATCGTGCCAGAACGCCATGCCTGGGACTTCAACGCAGAGAATCAACGTAACTGTTGCACCCGCATAATCTTGAATCTTTCCAACACATCATTTCTAGTACGTTGATGATGGGAACCCGTGAACCTCTTGCAAATGTTTAACACGAGTGTGCGCGGCGCTGAGGCGAGAGCGACATTTTGAAAAAGAGCCGCCCTCAACCTGTGAAATTCTTGCAATTGTTTAATTCGAATGCGTGTCGTGTTAAGGCGACAGCCATATTTTGAAAAACACCCGCCCTCAATCCGTGAAACTCTTGCAATTTAAAATAACGAATGTGCGCCGCGCTAAGGCAAAAACCAAGTTTGAAAAAAAAACGTCCTCAATCCGTGAAGCGCGTGCCCATGTTTTGAACGAATGTGCGCCGCGCTAAGGCGAGAGCCACATTTTGAAAACCACCCGCCCTCCATATGTGAAACTGCTGCCAATGTTTAAGCTTCAGAATCATAAATGGTGAGGAAGTCTCAGGCGAAACGCCCGGCCAGCCCTAAAAACTGGCCTCGGGGTGCGACAGGAAAAAGCTATGTATAAAGAAAAGGAATGGAGGAGGAGGAGGAGGAGGAGAACCAGTGTAAAACCAAGAGCCATCAACGATGTTGGAATAAACCTTCCCTTCAAGCTCCTTTTTTCGTAGGCCCCATACAACGGTTCATTTCCATGGAAGGAACTGCCTCTGACACGTTGATAATGGGAACCCGTGAAACTCTTGCAAATATTTCATACGAATATGCACCGCGCTAATGCGAGAACCACAATTTGAAACGGAGCCGCCCTCAATCCGTGAAGCTCTTACGAATTTTGAAAGCGAATGTGCTCCGCGCTAAGGCGATAGCCACCCGCTCTCAATCTGTGAAACTCTTGCGAATTTTGAAAGCGAATGTGCGCCGCGCTAAGGCGAGAACTTCATTTTGAAAACCACCCGCCCTCAATCCGTGAGGCTCTTGAACATAAAACCAAATGTGCGCCGCACTCAGGCGAGAACCGCATTTTGAAAACCACCCACCCTCAATCCGTTAAACTCTTGCAATTGTGTATCACGAGTGTGCACCGCGCTAATGCGAGAACCACATATTAAACAAGGAACCGCCTTTAATCCGTGAAGCTGTAATCAATTTCAAAGGTTCAGAATCATAAGCGGTGAGGAAGTCTCAGGTGAAACGCCGGCCCGCCGTAAAAACTGGCTTCGGGGTGCGACAGGGAGAACTTGTTCACAAGGAAAAGAAATGGAGAAGGAGGAGGAGGAGGAGGAGGAGGAGGAGGAGGGGGAGAGGGAGAGGAGGGAGGAGGAGGGAGAGAGGGGGGGAGGGAGGAGGAGGGGAGTCTTCCTCCGCTGACTCCCTTCGCCCCGCGGTCCTCGCCGGCCAGGAACAGGGAGGGGGAATAGGAGGAGGAGGAGGAAGAGGAGGAGGGAGGAGGAGGGAGGAGGAGGGAGGAGGGAGGAGGAGGGAGGAGGAGGGAGGAGGAGGGAGGAGGAGGGAGGAGGAGGGAGGAGGGAGGAGGATGGAGGAGGGGGGGGTCCTCGCCGGCCAGGAACAGGTTCGCGATGGCGCTCACCTC